AGATGACTCGTTACACTCAACTAAGGTGATCAGAATAGTAGGAATAATCTCGTTGACTTAGTATATGCAGACGATACAGTCCTTCTAGGCGAGGACGCTGACAAAATGAAGCAGAGTCTTCTAAACACTTTGAGCTGCAATCTACGACTGGCATGTTTGGCATGGGATTCGCTCCCGTCAAATGCAAGATGATATTACACGACGTGATATCCGACTATCGACCAAAAGGCGGGAGTACTGCTCAGCAGTCCACTCCGTCCTCCTCTATGGCTAGCTGTGAGACCTGGCCCTTGAGAGTGGACGACATGGAAAGGCTGGTTAGCTGTCTTTGATCATAGGTGCCTACGTTCTGATTCCCGTGAGAAGTCGTAGGTGTAATAGGGTAAGCAATATTGAGGTTAGGCACCGGTCAAGTGCCAGCTAGGTTACGAGGGGAAATCAATCGACGAGGCTGTGAAATTACACCGACTGAGATGGTTAGGACATGTGTTACGTATGACTAGCCTAGTCATCGCCTTCCTCAACAACAAGCTATGTTAGCTGACATAGGGTCAGGCTGGAAAAGAACCAGTGGTAGTCATAGCTTCACCAGTCAATGAAATCCACAACAGTTAGTTTAAGCCAGCCAAGTAGGAAGGTGTAGACTTCCTGACTGGTTGGGGTCCTCGGGACGGTAAAAAACCAATGAGGACTGGAGACAATTGGTGATAGGGCTCAAAGTGATCGTTCTCAATGACAGCGCAGATGCATCCACTCCTTGTGACTTATGATTTCCAATGAAACTACATTGCTCTTCGTTATTACTATCCTTTGTCTCACACCTCCGTTTACTGTCTCTATTATGCATTTCTTCTACTTTCTTCTGTTGCTTTGTGTGCTACATGGCGGGAGTGTGGCGACTTGAACTGGCGCACATATGTGTAAAGTTCTATGTCGAAAACAGACAGACAGACAGACTGTCACCAAGTTGCGCATGGTAAGTTGGCTGGAGAGCGAATCGAACCCGCGTCCCATCGACTGAAAACCCAGTGCTTTAGCCAATGAACTATACCTTCACAAACTCATATAATCCGAAATTTTTTTGTGTAGAACTTTAAACTAACTTTTTTTAGAACTCTGGATCTTATGATCAAATCCCGTAGGTCAGTAAGTGTAACACAGAAATAATTTCCATGAAGTACAACTATTTTACATCGTCTCAAAAGTAATTCGTTTATAATATCCAACTTGAACACGTCATTTATAGCAAGTAAACTATTGTGGTGAGAGCTGCCTACTAGCCAAAATTGGTTGACAGTATTTTACGTGATATGTACCCATATATATGGTGGTCTCTCTTTCTATTGCTCTCTTAGTCTGTGACCATTTCACTTTGGTGAACCTGTCTCCTTCCCCTTATATTATATATAATATGTGTGTTTGTTTGACAGTCTGATATATTTTGCTATGTATATATGGATCGATATTCCATTATAATTAGCCAATCATGTTAAGACTGTCTATTGATTCGTTCATTTTGAATATTCGCTCACACACTTGTTCGGACATTCTTAAATATTTTTGCTGTCACACACTTGTGTGACTTGGATTCTCCTTGTGTTTGGAAAATAGAAATATCATCGCAAACCTAGTGGTCTTCTGATTTCCGTTTCTCTTGCGTCAGGACTATTAAATTCTCGGCCAGTACATAACAATAATTTGGCGATGAGTACATAACATTACGTCACTGTTTACATCCCCAATATCGGTCGTGAGAAAATATGAACAAGGACTGATTTTGCGCAGGCGGATACAGTTAACATATATAGATGACCGGACATTCAAGAAGCAGTCACAAAGAGATGCAATGTTAACTTTCTGTGAGAAACAACCAATCAGAGGACTGTGTTTTTCTGCTAACAATAATCTATAATATAATGTACATGAAAATACATAAATATGTGTTGATTTCCTTAATAAACGATCTGTTGCCTGACCCTTGTCTTCTGTTGTTACACTATGAAGTAGTTTTTATCGCCAGCAAATAATAATGTTGACATGTAATATCATACTCAATTAGGAGCAATGATAAAATGACATAAATCCTAGATGAGTGGGTAGAGTAGTGATGAACGAACAGTTACAAATTGAAAGAAGTATAAAACTTGGGCACTGTGGTGGTAGAGCATAACTCCATTATGGATAAGATTTCATTTTCATAAATCACACAGTGTTATATTAACTGATGACCATGTTTCGAGCACAAAATATTTTCACTCATAATCATATCAAGTTACTCACACAACTTTTTTTCTTTCATTTATATGCATGTATGGAAATATATATATATATAAATTATATTATTTTGTTTAATTGGGTCAACCCACTGGGTCTTACTTGTGAGTTTATATGTGTAAAGTAAAGGGGATAAAATTCACATTTGAATCGGAAAATGAACAAGGAGAATTAGCTGAGATGTTAGATTGTAAGATAAAACCAATAGAAGAAGGCAAACTACACACTAGTGTTCATAAAAAACCAACGCATTCCCCTAATAGATATTTAGACTTTAATTCGTCTCATCTGTTGTCTGTGAAGGCAGGCTTACTTGTTAAGTGACTAACAAACTGAGCCATAGCACTAAGCAGCACAAGAAAAGACTTAAATGACGAAAAAAAACAGACAGAAGAAGCGTTGGTGTCAAATAACTAACTATACTATAAAATTCATTAGGAAGATCAGTAAAGGCCAAAAACAAAATAAAAATAATTGTGGAACTAGTAATGATAACATAAATAAGAGAGAATATAAGTCACCCACTGCTATACCATAAAAGGAGGGGACATCTGAGACCCTCCATACGTAGGATTCTCAACAAAGCAGGAATTAGGGTGGCATTCAAAGCTACAAACTCACTCAGGGAGGACAAGCTGTGTAGGCTAAAGGACCCAGTGGGTTGACCCAATTAGACAAAATAATATAATTTACAAAATACCTTGCAATGACTGTGAGTTCAACCAACTACATAGGTCAAACTAGTAGGTCAAGGTTATTCAGATTGTCGAAACATAAGAATTTATCTAAGGTAAAAATGTTTGACCCCGAAAAGATGAGTAGTTTAGAAAAAAGCTCAGCTATTGCACTTCACGCAATAACAAAAAACCACACAATAGGGTAGGAGAGGGGTAAGATTCTAGAAAGTGATGTAGGCAGGTGCAGAGAGAGGTTGATTACGGAATCCTTGTTCAACGAATCCACACTCAACGCATGCAACAGAAATGACTCAATGCAAATACCAGAGATATGGAAGATATTAATACCGTCAGTCAAATCAGAGGAGGATAATAAGTAATCTTACATTGTATTCTATTTAAATTCACGTACATCATCACAGCATTCTAACAAGTTACTTTTTATGACTATCAACAGAACACTCGTCTTATTTCCCATCTAAATGTTATTGATCAATAACACTCATATTATCATTATTTCTGAATGTACATTATCAAATATTGATTTTTATTCCAATATCTAATCGATTCCAAACATGTATATAAATGAAAGAAAATGTTGTGTGAGTAACTTGATATGATTATGAGTGGCAATAGTTTGCGCTCGAAACATGGTCATCAGTTAATATTTCTGTATAACAACACTGTGTGATTTATCAAAATAAAATCTTATCCATAATGGAACAGTTACAAAGTTGAAAATGCTAGTTGTCTTTGATCACAGATGTTTGCATTCTATCTTCTGTGTTAATTAGTATCACATGGTGAGTAATATTGAGGTTAGGCGTAAAGTATTAGGTAAGGAGGGTAAATCCATCGATGAGATTATGGAGCTGCATCGATTGAGATGGCTAGGACGTGTGTTATGCATGCCGAGTAATGTTAGATGACATAGTATTAGGTTGGAAAAGTGTTAGAGGTGCTCAAACCGAAACCTGGAATTAGTCCATGAAGTATTTGACGATTGGTTTGAGCTAGCCACGTAGGGGGGTGGGTGGGTGGTTGGGTTCCTCGGGATGCCAAAAACCAATGGCTGGAGACTACTTATTAGTGGTACGGGTAAAAATCATTCTCAACGGTGCAGATGCATTCACTTTTTGTAATCTTCCAGATTCATTCCAGATCCTCATGTTTTCCCATCATACTATTCTTTCTCCCGTACAGTTCTTTTGATTTTTATCTCTTTTTTCTGCCTTTGTGCACCACATGGAGTGTGGCAACTTGAAACTCACTCAGTCAGTCAGTACATTTTTCTATATTCCTATACGTTCCCAGTGGAACGCAGGGCTCCAAGCTACAGGCTTGAAGTTTCGGTAACAGTGGTATTTATTTCTACAGGATGGGGATGCTGCTAACCTCATGCCCAACCTTCCCTCTCTACCAGTCATTACTGGGTTAGCGAGGTAAAGGAGTGCATCGGTGGCTGGGGATCGAACCCCGGACCATATATGCATGGCTGGCGAGCACTTTACCGTTGTGCCACCAACGCAGTCAGTACATATATTGTTTGTTTATATGATAACTGAGTATTACGCTTAATGATAACAGCGGAATAATGAATGATCTAGTTAGCAGTAGGCTCTTGCGTAGCTCAGCTGGTAGAGTGTATAAGACTAGTCATTTGGTGGGGGAGGGGAGGGAGGCGGCATTTGTTTGAAGTCCTCCGCTACTCAAATTTACACTTCACCTTCGATCATCACTCAGTAAAAGTAGCTACAAAACATTAGATACAATCATTACGTCACTTCTACTGGACATACTCTGAGGAGAGATCATGGGATAATATATATCACGAGCCAGGCCCTGAAGTGGAACCCTACTAGGGAAATACGAGTTGGGTGTCCTAGCCTGGCAAGGAGAAGGAGATAAAAGCTTGTAAGCGATCATGGAGTGAGTTAGAAAGGGACCGCGGGGGTCAACTACTCCAGCAGTCCTATGTTCCACTCGGAAACCAAGAGAATAATAATGTGATATATAATGAATGACAAGGCAAGTTACAAACTAGCTTACCTTTATTTCTTTCAGATTCATACACTTTTTCATCTTTATAATTTTGTCGTGTAAACCATTGTTTTACGCGTGTAATAACACTAGCCTTATCTGAGGATAAACAATCATTAATTTCTGAAATTGAATTTATAGTTAACTGTTCCCTTAGATAATAATTGATTTCATTTGTTTGACTTGCAGTTGGATAATACATACTGGATGGGCTAATAGCCTTTAATTCTGCTGGAGATTTACGCTTGATATCTGTTTTTAAATCAGGTGAAGACGTCTTCTTAGGTTGTTGTAGTTGTTGTTGTTGTTGTTGACAAACACGGTAGCCTATAAAATAGATTTCAAATAAAAGGCCCATATTACACTAACAACCAGCCATAGGTAATTAGTAGTAACATAGAATGGCATCACTTAGTAGTTTCTTTAAGATCACTTTAGAGCTGGTTCATGGTTCACAGCAGGGTCTACCAAATCAGGTATTATTATTACTATTTTCAAGAATCGGTTTGTTAAGATTCTATTTGTTTCAGGTTAGACCGTGGATTGATATCACTTAGAGAGCTATTCAAAACCAGCGAGTGTTGGACAACCGTTTCATCCAGTTTAGGGATTACCAGCAGTACTCACCCACCACAACGTTTCGAACCAAGGACCACCTTCCAGTTACAAGACATGCTCATATACCATTCAGCCACTGGGACCCGATTCAATGGGTCATGAATTCCAACTTCTACCAATTCATGATTATTATTATTTTCATTGTTCCCTTGAGTCCCGAGTACAAAATAGGGCTTCAACAGTACATCTGCATTTTGTGCTGTTTTCTGTCGTCCTCTTCAGCTGCCTCACGTCTGCCCATATTCCCCTCATTTCCTCCTTGCACGATCTCCTTCATATCACTTTCGGACATTCGACTTATTGTATCCTATTTTGGTTCCACTAGAGTGATGGCCTGGCGCGCAATGTCAATCAATATTTCCCCATCGTACGCCAATTCATCTCCATTTTCTTCCACATCTTTGTTGGGCGATCGGTTTCTGGTTGGTTTATTACCATAGTTTTTTGTTGCCAATTATTTCTGGCTAGCCATTTGATAACAGTATGGAGCCAGTGAAGGCAGTTGTTGACGAAAGTCTGCAATGGCCAGTTTGAAATACTTTGCGTGACACGGACACGCCGTAGAAGAAGTGATATTCAAGGTTTGTGTTGAAAATTCGAATCTTGTTCCTTTTGCAGAGTGCAGAAGAGTTCCAAACTGATTTCAGAGTGTCGCAGGTGTACCTTGTCTTTCCGATCCTGGCTTTGACATCTTTATTCGTGCCGCCCACTTTTAGTTGGAACGATAAATGAAGGAGTAACCTCTTGCAAATTTTTTCATTTGATAGTGAGGTAAGACAACAGTTACTCTCTTATGACATTGGCTGGCGGTGGTGTCAGAAGTCGATGTTCATGAGCCACTTGATTGGAGCACAGTGACCAGATGGTCGGCCTATGAGCTAACCTTATAACCACAAGATCCTGGATTCGATCTCCAGTATGGTCGTGTGTAATGATGAAGAGCCTCAAAGTAGGACGAAACAACTACCAAGTACACTCCAGGTTTTTCTCAATGGTTTTGCTAACTTGTGTTACCTTGCAATCAAACCTGTAGTCAATCAAATCCCTGAAAACTGACAATTCGTAATAAAATAAAATGTTTGACAATAATTTCGTTACGTAAAACGAAAGTGGACATTAATAAATTCAATCGTACTTTAGTTAGTTAAGTAGTTCATGGCTGACAATATTCGTAGTCTGTTTTCCTTTTGTACACACATAGTTTAGGATGAATGTGACTAATCCAAAGTGCTTCCATCACCTTTTAACAACCTTGAATTAAGGGGTCCATAAAATTTGAACAAGTGAGCTACAGTGCAAACATTCAGTTTTGTTGGTTAGTGGATATCCTGAAAACTTCATTGTATATATCACAATAAAGAGAGATTGACTACCTCTTGAAAAGACAACTCCTCCATAGCAAAGAAGGCTATTTCCATTAAACTACCATTCAAGGATGACTAAATCGTGCAACTGACAGTTCAAAGCCTTAGGCCAGATATCAAGCGCACACATACTGCGCTACATCCATTTTCCTGACAACTCAAACAGTTTAAACTCCTGTACCTACAATTAAAGAATGAAGTTCTATGAACTCTAATTCATACTGTATCTACAAGTTCACTTTCAGTTGATGGGACACATATTGAGGTAGAACTAATAGAATACTCAGTAAAGTTAAACTTTAAGCACCAATAACTACCACCAATCAGCGAATGACCTGGAACGCACCCATCACGTGAAGGAGGCATTTTTGTGTATGGAAACATATATTTATGAAAGAAATGCATAAAAACTGTAGAAAACTGTTACAGAGGATACCTTTCTCTCACATGTGATAAAAATAGCTCTTAGTTTTAGTTTGGAGTATCAACAGAGTATAATTCCATTGTGGGTAAAATTTATTTTGATATAGTCTCATAGTGTAACACAGTAATATTTCCTTAGCAATAAATTGTTCTCGAAACGTCATCAGTAAATATTACTACTGCATAACACTGTGAGACTATCAAAATGAATTTTACCCACAGTGGGATTATACTCTACCACAATGTACGTGTTCTATTCTTATATCAACAGAGTAATTTAACTACATTCTATGCATGTAATTATTTAGGTCTTCTAACCCTAACAATAGCCCTAATCTCTCCTGAACCTAACCCTAACGTGAAAATATCCCTAAACCAACGGCAATCTAACTCGAACCAACCCTAAACTCGCCCTTATTAAGTTAACCTAACCCTAACTTGTCCTGGGCTTAAACCGTAACTTAATTTATTTTATTTTTTTTTAATTTTTATTTTTGATTACAGCTTGTTTCCACACCGTATTTTTGGTACAAGTGTGGAATTTTCAGCGTGGATATCGGTAGCCCAAAATTCGCAGGCCGATCATAGATATCAAGTGTGCGTCGGCGTGGGCTCGAACCCCGGACCATGTGCATGGTCGGCGAGAGTCCTAACCACTGTGCCACCGATGCACACATTAGCACAGAGAGCCGAGAAGCGAAATCTTTCCCAAACCTAAGCTGAAACTTATTTGCCAGGTTTCGCTCTTTCTCAGTTTCAAGGTCATCGATGCTGTCGCACTTCATTGGCAGTTAGTGGTGCTCAAAGTTTAACCTAGCCGAATATTCTTATGCCGTCGAGAAGAACACGTTCCTAAAAGGTTATTAAGTCACATAGAAAACTCAAATGTACTTCATCTGAATAGAAATCCAGCATCATACATTCCAAAGAATTTATTAATGACTGGTCACAAAATCAATATTGATGACTTTTTTTATCAATTATTTCAAATAACTTAATTGTAAGATTATTAAGTATGACGGAAGCACTTTGGATTAATTGCATACATCGTGAACAATGATGTGTGTACAGAAGACAACAGACTTCGAACGTTGGACTACTCCTTCACTTACTAAGATATGACTGGTTGATTGTCAAACATTTTATTTTATTATTGCGCACCATGTTCTTTGAAAAGCGGTTGATGAATAGCGAAACTACAAAACAGTACAATAATAATAATATTTGTCTTCTTAATGCCTTATTTCAAATTATCAAAGGGACTAACTGTTTCAGCATAGGATGAATTAGAGAAAATTATTTGGAATAAATCATAAAATGGCGCTCAGTTTTAGACTGCTGTTGCCACCGCTGTTTCAGTAGTGGTATATACTACTAATAGATTAATATGAGTAGTCGGATACAACCGACACTAACCAGTAGGATTTGATGTCTAGATTTTGTTTTTTGTTCCTTTACGTTCGCAGTGGAACATAGTACTTCAAGCTAGAGGTTTGAAGTTTCGGTAGGAGTGATGTTTATTTTTACAGGATGAGGTTGCCAGCCTCATGCCCAACCTACCCTCTTTGCCAGTTTTATTACTAGCTTGGCGAGGCAAAGGAGTGCATCGGTCGGGGATCGAACCCTGGAGCATGTGCATAGTCGCGAGCGTCCTAACCACTCTGCCACCGACGCACACGATGACTAGATTGAAGTGATTTCAATACCACACGGTCGTTACTCTTGTTTGTCACAGAGTTTATCAGCGGCGTGCCAGGTCTCAAGTGTCAATATCGCACTGTGAACAACGTCGTCATGCATAAACGCTCAGTTAAGTTATGGAGATCAACCAGTAAACCTTTAAAAACTTCATAAGTGGGAAAGCAGTCGATTTGAATTAGACTGAAACCCTCTTGATTTACGCCGAATCAGTCAGAGAGAGAGGCAGCAAATAACCAGAACAAAGGAACATCGATCACTTTCATCAAACAAACAATTTCAAGCAGTTGGATCAAACTGATCCGAACACAATTCAATTTAAACAAAATAAACCAGTTCATCACAAATAAAGACTCAAGTGAGGCCTTTCAAATAGTGGTTGAAAGGTTTGAGTCTCAGTGGGAACACCGTTATCACCAACTGAGGAATGCAGGTACATCTTGATGACTAGTTGCAAATAGGACGAAATGCACATCCTGGAGGATTCCACCTGCTGGTCACCATCCATCAAAACTAATTCAAGTCAATCCTCAGGTATCGCCGTCACTGCATTCGTACTAGAAGTTGACACGTCAATACAGGACGAACATCTCGATCACCCGGAAAACCAAAAATTCAGTTAAACAAATGACAACAGCAATGACGACATAACTTTCAGAAACTTCTTTCAGAAAAAAACTCACATTTCACTGGAGTAATAGGATCAGGTAAATTATCCTTTGAATTGTTACCATTTATTCGATGAGACTTGGAAGTAGACGATGGAGAGACTTTATTCATTTCAGTGATAAGGCATAACTCTGACTTCAATGACTCAGCTTTGATTAAATAATTTTTCATCTGAAATTAAACAAAAAAGAAAGTCAAACATGTTCTCTTAAGACTATTAGATAGATTATACATCTTTATTTTGTTAGAAGGATATGCCAGAGAAATGAAACAACAACTAAGAACGCAGAAATGTTTTTGATTGGAGACTAGAGTCAGTAACTAGTGTAATGTGTGTGCAGACTGAATTCTATCAGTCAGTCAAGGTTGCAATGTGGCCAACATGCCACTAGTGGCTTGACATCACGGTGCACTGTGAATTGTTGGTATTTGATGGTTGGAGAAATCGGTCACAGGAAGCCTTGTCTGACCTAGGTTTCGTGCTAGTTGGCACTGACAAATCAGTCAGCAGGGTGTATCTGCAACCTCGAAGGAACTCGTGTCCTTTCTGAGTTCGAACCCGCGTCGCCTAATACTGCAGTGAGTCAGAGACGCTACCATTGAGCTATTCAGGCTAGTGATTGACCTCCTGTCTGTATGTCTGTTTTCGACATAGAACTTTACACATATGTGCGCCAGTTCAAGTCGCCACACTCCCGCCATGTATCACACAAAGCAACAGAAAAAAGTGGAAGAAATGCATAATAGAGACAGTAAACAGAGGTGTGAGACAAAGGGATAGTAATAACGAAGAGCAATGTAGTTTCATTGGAAATCATAAGTCACAAGGAGTGGATGCATCTGCGCTGTCATTGAGAACGATTTTGAGCCCTATCACCAATTGTCCCCAACCTTCATTGGTTTTTACCGTCCCGAGGACCCCAACCAGTCAGGAAGTCTACACCTTCCTACTTGGCTGGCTTAAACTAACTGTTGTGGATTTCATTGACTGGTGAAGCTATGACTACCACTGGTTCTTTTCCAGCCTGACCCTATGTCAGCTAACATAGCTTGTTGTTGAGGAAGGCGATGACTAGGCTAGTCATACGTAACACATGTCCTACTCATCTCAGTCGATGTAATTTCACAGCCTCGTCGATTGATTTCCCCTCGTAACCTAGCTGGCACTTGACCGGTGCCTAACCTCAATATTGCTTACCCTATTACACCTACGACTTCTCACGGGAAACAGAACGTAGGCACCTATGATCAAAGACAGCTAATCTTTTCATGTCGTCCACTCTCAAGGGCCAGGTCTCACAGCTAGCCATAGAGGAGAACGGAGCGGACTGATGAGCAGTACACCCGCCCTTTGGTCGACAGCCAGTTAGCGGGATATCACGTCTACGCCAGAGAAAGCGTAGACTGACATACGCGAAACTAGCCTTCTGTATCCGTGCTGAGATTTCGTCAGAGATCAACCCGTTGACGTTGGCCGATGGTACCTCCCAAGTAAGTGAAGAGGTCGACGTGCTCTACCACTTCACTCCCTATTTCTAAACTAGGAGTCAGTGTAGTCCAGTCCTGCAACATCCTCTTACATTTGATTGGAGCGAAAGGCTGAATTCTATCATCAGTCAAGGTTGCAATGTGGTCAACATGCCACTAAGTGGCTTCACATCACGGTGCACTGTGAATTGTTGGTATTTGATGGTTGGAGGAAATCGGCCACAGGAAGCCTTGTCTGACCTAGGTTTCGTGCTAGTTGGCACCCACCATTAAGTCGGCAAGACGTATGTGCAACCTTGAAGGAACTCATGTCCCTTCTGGGGAGCGCTGCAGTCGAAGACGTTACCACTGAACTATTAAGGCTCGCGATTTGCCTCCTGTAGGACTGTATTGGATATATTTGATTAGACACTAGTCAGTGACTAGTGTAATGTGAGTGTCTGACATGTGTAGAACCCCTCCGAAAAAATAATTCGTATTGTGATGTATGACTCAACAAGAAAGTTCCCACATTCTATGTAGCAGACAAAGGTAGACAAAAGAGAGACCGAAAAAAGAAATTCAATAGAACTGTAATAAGCAGAAATATTTGAGAGAAGGAAGGATAACGTGGAAAAACATGACGGTCTAGTGAGTATATATAGAAGATCACAAAGAGTGGTGTAGAGTGGTCAACACGCTCAGCAACCCCTTCACTCCCCTCTGTCTTTAAGCTAGAGAAGTTGAGATGTAGTCAAGTCCTGTAGCATCGCATAATCTTACATTTGACTGAAGTAAATCGCATGCTAAACATTCGAAGATTGGCACTCATCGTGTTCAAAAGACTGATGTGCCATTGTTAGCGTCTTCACACAGAAGGAAAATATCATCTGTAAACTCTAAGTCAGTCAACAACACTATCCCTCCTGGTGGTAACAAGTTAATCCCTAAATTCACTAAAGTTAGTTAGGGTCAATTCTATTAGTACATCTATGGTGAAATTAAACAGAAATCGGGACGGTGGATATCCCTGACGGGCAATGAATGCAGCTTGTGATATCACTTCAGATGACAACTCTCCATAAGCTTTTTATACGGCTTTGTGAGTTCGAGTAGTGTCTTGATCAGTGCGATATACGTTCTCTTCACACACACACACACACACACACACTCCCTTCACGGTCAAACATTGACATATCACCACCTCTCAGTCGACAGAGTGGAATTCCACACTCAGGTCAAGAAATATAGCAAGTGTTGGAAGTTAGTAAGGATGTGTGTGCATATGTCCCAGAATCTGTTGGGGGGGGGGAGGGGGGAGTATGTAATCAGTACGCCCTCTGTGTTTTTTTCTGCTGAGCACTACATAGTCTAAGGATGATGACTGAACTGAGAACTTTAGATATTATACTATACTAGTCAGGCTTATCCCCTTATGATTATCACAAGAAGACTTTTTTTCTTTCCTTCTTCTAAACTGGGAGAATCACTCACTTACACTGGCCTAACTAAACTATATCTGATTCTCAGACATTACCTAATAACTTAGTTAATTCAGACAGCAGTTCTTAACAGTATAATTACACACCTCTGGAGCTATTCCGTGGGGTACTGATGCTTTGCGCCGTTTCAGAATAAATTTGTCCCAGTGGCCGAACGGTCAGTGAGCTTGCCTCGGATACTACTGGTTATCATCACTATAGATGAAAACCACTTCAATATTGGAATACCAACAGTATATTTGAAGGAATTACTATTGAGATGCACTCTGAACGTCCAGTTCGCATTCAACAACACCATCTACAGACAAAAAGATGGTACTGCAATGGGATCTCCGTAGGGTCCACTACCATCAGATTGCTTCGTGGTAAGCCTCGAGAGGTCCACTAAAGCCAAGCATTGACAATTTGCGACTGCATAAAAGATGCGTGGACTACATTTTCATTATTTGTGACAACAAAACAACCCCAATCTACTGCTGAAGACATTTAACAGTTGCCATCCAGCAATAAAATTCACTCTTGAAATGGAAAACGAGTCGAAAATTTCGTTTATTGGTGTGGAACTGACAAGAAGAACTGATGGGAGCCTAAGAAGATCGATCCACAGAAAAGCTACTTGGAATGGTCAACTAACAAGCTTCTATAGCTGGCTACTGATTCAGCAAAAGCGGGATTTAATCAAATCACTTGTCACCAGCATCCGACGCATCTGTAGTCCCGACGTTGTGGAAACAGAATTAGATATTCTAAGAGAAATCTTCATCCAAAATGGATACCCTATAAGATTCATCGACAAAAATATCAAACCAATAATTTGGAAAAACGAAACTTTAATTGTGCCCAAAAATAAACTTTATATGAACTTGGATTTCAAGGGAGATTTAGGAAGCGATATTCTCAAGAGAAGGATCACATCATCTCTTAGAAGAACATTCTTTGCAGCAACGCTAAGAACAGTGTTCTCCAGTCGCCTACTGATCTGCACAAGCCTCAAGGACAAGATCCCGCATCTGACTACTTCTATGTGCATATATCAGTTGTGGAGCCAGGTACATCGACCGTTCGACGCGCACCCTGTCCAAGAGGATTCAAGAACACTATTGCGAAAGGCAATAGTGGTGCAATAAGGAGTGCGATAATTGAACACTTGGTTAACACTGATCATTCCATCTCAACAAACCCCTCCTTCAAAGTAATCTACAGAGTCATGAATAACTTACTTTTTTTACTTTTTACTTTACTTCGGCTATCTCCTACGGGAGGATGAGCCGGCTTCATGAACGTCTCGAATCATCGCTGCCCAGGCGCGGCAATTTGTAAGAGAGTTCATGAAGTTTCATGGGAATTTGGTACGAGTGATGTCCCCAGAATCACTCGTGAATAACCTGACAAAGGCAATACGGTTTCGTCTTCTTTGCATCACTGAGGCTCTGGCTATTCACATAGAAAACCGGAACTGTGCATACAAAAGAAGATTACTCAACCACTTCTACTGTCATGGTAACAACTTTTCTCTTTTTGATTTGATTTGAGTTTCTTTTTTATTTTGATGACTTAATCTTGTTTCTTTGCCTGTTCTTTAATTGCTTAGAATTCCTGTATTCATTCAGAACTCTTACGTAATTTCGTATTATCTACTCTGTTTCTATGTGCATCCTGAGTAAAACTCACTCATCAAACTATTCATATTATTACATAACTTCTTTTAAAAACTGTTTGTGACAACTCATCACCTTTCTTACTACCCTAATTTCATTAACACCTAATTCTCTTGACTTGTATTACCAACCTTCACCTGTTTAGTTAAAATAACCATAACCAATTGTATTTTTGCTTGATAAACTTAATGTACACATACATAAAAACATAACACATATATTTGCGATTGTACAGCTAAGAAAATGAATTTGCCGCCGAAAAGAGACCCTTCGCTGATCTACGTGTTTTGTTTTCACAGATGAAATCCTCGATAAGCTCTTATAATGCTCTTTGTGAGTTCGATTAGTTGCTTGATCAGTCCCTTCACAGTCAAATATTGGTATATCATCATCTCTCTGTCGACAAAGTCTGATATCACATCCATGTCAAGAAATATGCCGAGTGTTGGACGTTGATGTTTTTTTTCCCTCACGTTCCCCAGTGAAGCATAAGGCTAGTGGCTTGAAGTTTCTGTAGCAGTGGTGTTTAGTTTTACAGGATGGGGTTGCTAGCCTCATGCCCAACCTTTCCTCTTCAACAGAATTATTTCTGGCTTAGCGAGGTAAAGGAGTTCGGCGTCGGCCGGAGATCGATCCCCGGACCATGTGCATGGTCGGAGAGGGCCCTAACCGCTATGTCACCGACGCACGTTGGTGTAGATGATTATATTTCAGAATCTGTCGAAGATGGGTGAATATGTTACAATGTTACCTAAACTCTTCATTTATAAAAAAGATCATAAGCAATAGTCAAAAATTCAAAAACACATTTTTAGTAGTCACATAAAAAAACTGATAAAAAAATTTGTTTAAAAATAAATAAATAAACTGACCAGATTTCGTATTTCAGCTTTCCTAAATCGACTTTGTTCGTCTGTAAGAAGAAAGAAAAAGTTGATGTATTTTGGTTAAAGATTCTTCAATAATTATGGTCTGAACAGCATCATCAAGTTAAAATAATGACATACATCGTAGCAGACAGAATAAACATGAGTAGGAGTGGGGGAAGCATTATCATCATCATAATAGCTCACTGGAGAATGCAGGTACCTCCAGATGATGAGTCCCAAGTAGAATGAAATGCACACTGTAGATTCCACTTCTAGTGCGTCGGTGGTACAACGGTTAAGAGTCTCACCCACCATACACATGGTCCGGGGTTCGATCCCCTGCCGACGCACACCTGATATCTATGGTCGGTCTGCAAAATTTGGGCCACCGATATCACATGCTGAAAATTCCATACTTATACCGAAAATACTGAGTGGTTTCAAGCTAGAATCAAAAAAAATAAAAAATGACAGTATAAGGAGCGCTGTTTCAACTACAGGCAGTCGGCACACGGATGAGGATGTCAAAGGCAGAGAGGTTAGAAAGAAGGAGGACGAGACCTTCATTAAGCTAAAATCAGTGTAGAAATCTACTTAATGCACTAAAAGCCTAAGGAACAAGGTGTAGATCTTCAACATAAATGTCAAGTTGGTGCCTCTGTATGTCTTACAGACTTGGTGCACGCATTACGAAAATTATTTCCAAAGGGCTTTTGAAGAATTCCCCACCAACAGCTACCCACACTTCTCTATCCATATTGAAGACCAGATGGCCAGTCAGAAGGGACAAGCAACAAGGAGATCTGGTAGTACAACAAACTAATAATGTGTCAAAAGAAATGGAGATGGATAGGACACATGCTGAGGAAATCGTTGAGTAACACCGTGTACATTGCAGGCCCTAGAGTGGAGCCCGAGTAAGAAACAAACAGTTAGGAGACCAAGGGTAACATGAGGGAGATTCTGTGAGGAAATGAGAGATTATGCACAACCATGCAGTCAGCTAAAAAGAACTGAAGAGAATACAATGAGTCAGAGATGATGTGCTGTAGAAGCCCTAATATTGTACACGGAACCCAAGGGAGTCATAATAAATAATAATAATAATAATCGGTAGGTGAATGCGATATGTCAATATTTTAAATGTCTAAAAGAAAAATGATATGATTATGAGCAATACATTGTGCTCGAAACGTCATCAGTAAACATTACTGTATAACACTGTGAGACTTTATCAAAACAAAATTCACTCATAATGGAATTACACTCTACCACAGAGCACAAGTTTTGTTCTTATATTAAAAGAAAAATGATTCATAAGAAATTAGTTACAACAGCACACAACAACGACACGATAGACAGGTCTTTCATATTTACAAATGAAAAGAAAAGTGTTTGAACTACCAAATAAAAAATTTTTTTCTACAAAAAAGGCATTATAAGAGTCTGAGTGTAAAAACTAAAACTTACAATTGCATGCAGCAACTAAGTGATTTAACCCTTCTAGATAACAATCGTACGCTTCACATAATTTCCCCAATGATTCTAGTTTGGGAGCACGTTCAAGATATTCATTCTATAGATGATAAGAATAAATACACAAGTGACATTCATACAAATCATTGACAGGATATGTAGAATAATAATAATATTAATAGTAATAATAGTAAACTTGACTAATAGAATTCAGTCTCCACTAAACCAAGGACTAGGCGCATGACAATGGCTACTACCCCGTATCCAATCAAACCATCTATTAGAGTTCTACAGGAGGACAATCATGAGTCCGAATAGCCTCAAAAGTAACATCTCTGAATGAAGAACTGGATGATGCAGTTTCGCATCGCACACCTAACATTCACAATCTTTGAATGTTTGGCGATCCGCTTCCGCCAAATGTAAGATGATGTTACAGGACTGGACTAAATTGACTCATTCCTAGCTTAGAAATAGGAAGTGAAATGGTGGAGTGTGTTGACCGCTTCACTTATTTGGGAAGTTGTATCAGCCAACGCCAGACATGTTGATCGCTGACGAAGTCTATGCACGGATATGGAAGGCTCGTCTCGCATATGCCTGTCAACTTAGGCAATCTCTGGCTTAGCACGCGTGATATCCGATTGGCTGTCGACCAAAGGGCGGGTGTACTGCTCAGCAGTCCACCCAGTCCTCCTTCATGCCTGGCTTTGAGATAAGGCCATTGAAAATGGAAGACATGAAAAGGATGGCTATCTGTCTTTGATCATAGGTGTCGGCGTTCTGCCTCCCATGTTAAGTGGCATAATAGGGTGGGCGATATTGAGGTTAGGCGTCGAGTGATAGTTAAGGAGGGGAAATAAATCGACGAGGCTGTGAAGTTACATTGATTGAGATGGTTAGAACATGTGTTACGTATGCCTGTCTAGCCACCGCCTTCCTCGACAACAGGCAATGTTAGCTGACATAGGATGGATCAGGTTGGGAAAGGGAAAGCCAGTGGTGGTCAAACCAAAAACCAGAATCAGCCAATCAAATCCACAACAGTGACGTAGACTGACTCCCGGTTGGGGTTCTCAGGATGGTAAAAACCAATGAAGGCTGGAGACAATCGGTGATATAGCTCAAAATCGTCCTCAATTGCTGGCGCAGATGTATCCACTCCCTGTGACTCATAGTACCCAATAAATCCATATGGTTCTTCCATATTACTATTCTTTTTGCCTCATATCTCTGTTTACTGTCTCTATTTTGCATCTCTTTTTACTTTCTTCTCTTGCTTCGTGTGATACAGTGATGGCATTGATAGGATCCCACATATTTTGGTATTGACTGTTTAAACTTGCATTTATGGTATGTTATCATTCTCACGCATTTTGGTAGTGACTGCTAATTTTGTGTATCATCATTCTCACGTATTTTGGTAGTGACTGCTAATTTTGTATATATGGTATATAATCATTCCCACACATTTTGTTACTGACTGTCAATGTCGCACATATGGCATATTCTCATTTCTCACACACTTTGTTATTGGCTATTAAGGTCTATTATTTCAAATGCTGTTAGCTGTCCATATTGTTGTAAAATGTATAAATACCATGGCTTTCTTTACCGTTGTTGCACTTCAATACACAGTCACAGTCCAGCCTTTGTCTTTTGATATTTGCGTGCTTTACTAAGTCGGAAGGTACGACAAGCAGATAGGCAGATTAGTTCAGGCGCAGACAGAATAAGGTGAAAACGTCTTCATTCAATTCCCTACCGTTATAACAAATTGGCGACGGGGTTTTACCTTAATTCATTGCAGTTATAGCAAGCAAACGACGACAGTTTTTATTCTGTTCAGCGCAGCTATATAACATTTTTGACTGTGTTAATTACAACCCAATTACAATGTCTATCTCTCTGGACGATCTCAAATCTATCTTGCAGCAGCAGCAAGTTCAGAATGAAGCAGCTCAACTAAAATTAATCGAAGCTCTCACTCAGAAGCTGTCCATTCAAGTTCCATCAACATCTCATTCTGACAAATATGAAAGCATCTCAAATTCCATCAGTGAGTTCAACTACGACCCAATATCTGGTCTCGTATTTGATGCATGGTTCAATCGTTACGAAGACGTTTTCCGTATTGAATGCTACATGTTTGATGATGCTGCCAAAGTCCGATTGTTACTAAGAAAACTTGGTACTGTTGAGCACAACAGATATGTTAACTTCATTCTGCCTAAGAACCCACGTGAGTTATCATTCGATGAGACAGTCACCGTTTTATCACAAATCTTTGGTGAACAGTCATCCATGTTTAATATTCGGTATCAATGTTTTCAGTTGACAAAAATGCCTTCCGATGATTATGTCACTTACGCTGGCAAAGTGAACAAGGAATGTGAAAGGTTCAAACCACACGAAATGACATCAGATCAGTTCAAGTGTTTGATTTTTATTTGTGGGTTGAAGAACCCAGAAGATACTGACATAAGAACTCGACTTCTGTCACTCGTGGAACAAGACCCGAAAATGACTTTACAAATGGTGACAGCAGAATGCCTACGTTTAATCAACTTGAAGCACGATACTGCTATGGTGGAGTGCAAACGACAGTCGTCTGAATTTGGTTCGATTAACACAGTGAAAAGTCCTCCGATCACCGTTAAGCACACAGCACGTCAGTCTCAGAATTCAGCTAAACCTCCTTCAGTGTGCTGGCACTGTGGTTCGTGGCATTTTGTCAAGTTCTGTCCTTTCAAGAAACATAAATGCCGTAATTGTCACCGTTTTGGACATAAGGAGGGTTACTGTCCACCGCAGAAAAATTCTTCGGTGAGGAACAGAAGTAGTCGTTTCAAGCCGAAACAATCTCCTCGAGTACAGACCATTTTCACAACTTCCAAAGTCGATTTCGCCAGCAAACGTAAGTACATTACACTAGGTATTAATGGCAAACATATTCGTCTTCAGTTGGATACGGCATCAGATATCACCTTAATTTCCCGAACTACGTGGCGCAAACTTGGGTGCCCACAGATTCTGCCGACCGAGCATGTCGCTAAGAATGCCTCTGGAGATATACTGAAACTCGTGGGTGAGATAAATTGCCAGGTTCAGTTTGGTGAGCATCACTTCAATGGTGTATGTTACGTTACAAACTACCATGATTTGAATTTGCTTGGTCTTGACTGGTTAGACAAGCTCCATATCTTTAATGTACCATTAAATTCAGTATGCTCTAATGTTTCGTCCTCACCACACAACGTTGTTCCCGGAGATGTATCTGATCAATCTCTCTTGCAACGCCTTCGTCAAAAGCACGCTTCTGTCTTCCAGGACAAACTTGGTTGCTGCAAATTTACCCAAGTTGTTTTGTCTCTAAAGCCAAACGCGAAGCCAATTTTTCGTCCAAAACGTCCAGTTCCGTATGCTGCTGTCACATTGGTTGAGAATGAACTCGACAGACTGGAAGCATTGGGTGTCATCAAACCAGTAACGTATTCGCCCTGGGCTGCTCCGATAGTTGTTGTACGCAAAGCAAATGGTTCCATTCGCCTGTGTGCAGATTTCTCAACTGGGTTAAATGATGCTCTAGAGGACCATGCTTATCCATTACCAATTCAAGAAGACTTATTCGTCAAACTTAATGGTGGAAAATGTTTTGCAAAAATTGACCTTGCTGATGCTTATCTTCAAATAGAAGTTGAACCAAAGTCTCAAGAGTTGCTAACAATCAACACTCATAGAGGTCTCTACCAGTTTACTCGCTTACCATTTGGTGTGAAACCAGCACCCGCAATTTTTCAGCAGATCATGGATACTATGCTTGCTAACCAACCTGGTGTTGCTGTCTACCTCGACGATGTGATAATCACAGGGAGTAGTAAGTCTGAATTGTTTGATCGACTTGACGCTGTGCTATCCAAAATGTCAGAGTTTGGGTTCTACCTTAAAGAGGATAAATGTACATTTTTCATGGATTCAGTAAAGTATCTTGGGTTCATTTTCGATCAACATGGACGTCGACCAGACCCAGAAAATGTACGTGCTATTCAGAATATGCCCGCTCCCACTAATGTTGCCACTCTGCGATCTTTCCTTGGCCTCATCAGCTATTACAGTGCATTTCTACCAGAGCTTCATCACATACGTGCTCCACTGAATCGCCTGTTATCGAAAAATGCAAAATGGAATTGGTCACCTGAATGTCAAAATGCATTTAAAAAAGTAAAATCGTTACTCCAGTCAGACATGCTGCTTACTTATTATGATCCAAGTCTTGAAATCATCCTTGCTGCAGATGCATCCGACTATGGTATTGGTGCTGTTATATCTCATCGTTTTCCTGACGGAAGGGAGAAAGCTATTGCACATGCATCTAGAACACTGAATACAACCGAACGCAAATATAGCCAAATTGAGAAAGAAGGTTTGGCGCTTATCTTCGCAGTCAAAAAGTTTCACAAAATGCTTCATGGTAGGAAATTCACCCTATTTACTGACCATAAACCCCTGTTATCGATATTTGGTTCGAAAAAGGGCGTTCCAGTGTACACTGCGAATCGGCTTCAAAGGTGGGCTGTCATGTTACTGGGATATAATTTTGATATCAAATACAAACCTACCTCTGAATTTGGCCAGGTAGATGCATTATCACGGCTGCTAAGCCATCAGAAGTTGGAAAGCGAGGATGTTGTTATTGCATCCATCTCTGTTGAAGATGATGTAAACAGAGTTCTGGTAGGCGCGACTCAACTTCTTCCGGTGACTGCAGTTGAGGTTGCCAGACACACACTGCGTGATCCAGTTTTACAGCAAGTATCAAAGTTCATCCGATTTGGCTGGCCTCCACATGTTCATTCAAATGTTTTAAAACAGTTTTACCAGCGACGCCAATCCCTATCCATCGTTAATGAATGCATAATGTTTGCTGATCGTGTTGTGGTTCCAGCTAATCTTCGTGACCATGTGCTTCGGCAGCTTCATATATCACATCCTGGTGTTGGGAGAATGAAGGCGATCGCTCGCAGTTATGTTTACTGGCCCAACATCGATGACCATATCGAAGACCTCGTTCGCAAGTGTAGTAAATGTGCTCAAGCATCA